TACTATATTCTTATTTTTTCTTTCTTTTCTATTTTTCTATTTTTTTCATGCAATATTTTTCCTTTTTACTATTAATAAACAGTAGTACTACTAAATTACTATTTTAAAAAAAGGAAAGGTGGAAGGAGAGAGAAGAGGACGACATGCAGCAAGATGGATGGACTCAATTATAGCAGCAATGGGTGCAGTACTGGAAGACCTGAAAGACCAGGTTGGGGACAGATCATCACGGAGAAAAATCTGTATGAAGTTGACATCAAGTGTGACATCAAATCAAATCACATCACAGATTTAGAAATCCATGAAAAAGTTTGCCAGTTTATCAAACATAAGTCTAAATGATCTTGACAAGATTTTCAGCTTCACTAAGCTTGTTCAATTTTTAGCAAAGTGTAACATTTTTGCCAGAATTATTTATATCTTATTGTTTTTTCTACCAGTTGTACAAACTGCCTAATAATAGAGGTTTCAGGTAGCTGCACAGATGTGCAGAACCTTTGTTTTGACTCAAGAGAAAAGAACATAAAACAGCTACAACTCCTCTGTTTGATGTTAAAATCAAAGTGCTTAACTTTGTCCATGTTTATAGATCTTAATATATTAATTAACTAATTAAGAACTTTCCAATCAATAAATACTATTTAAGACTAGGGCTTCATCTAGCCAAATTAAGCATGCTAAATCTTATTTAGTTAATTATATATTTAAAGAATGCAAAATCATTCATCTACTTTCCTGGGAATAAGCCTTGTACTGAAATGTTACATTAACAGATAATGTATTTCAAAAATATATTCAAATGTGTAAAAAAAAAAAAAAAAGCAATGCACCTTAAATATTAACATACATCACAGATGTTTGCATGTATCCAAAAAAGGTTTATGCAGTAAGTTAGAAAATAAATGATCAAATACTTTGTTGTTTCCAGACTTTCATTCTGTTACGTTAATAATTTTCCAGATTACATAGTATTTTGTCACCTGGGATATATTTTAGTATGATTGTTGATGCATCACACAACCTGCAGAGCAGCAAAGGTCACATGCACTGGTGTCAAAACTAATTACTCTTACCAATTGTACTTTGTCTTTTATCTTCCATTTCTTCAGATCTGTTTGGCATTGCAGGAGTTGGTGGGGGAGGAGCACGTCTCTTTTTCTTTTTTAGCTCATGCTGCAATGAAATTTGGGACATCTATAAAGATAGAAAATAACACTATTTAGGCATATGAACTATTACATATTTTGTATATTTGAAGATATGTTAATAGGCCAGTATTTGAGGCCCTTGTCTCCAGTGCCATGTGTTCTTGGAGACAAAGACATTAAATAATCCAGCCCCTGCAGCTGGTACTTGAAGGTATGCTTCCCCAAATTGGAAATAACATTAAATTTTCAAGACTAATAGCCCTCAGTAGAACTGTCCTCTGAATATATCCACGACCACCACCCATCTAAAGCTATTAACGTCACTTATTATACAATACATAAAGAGGTACTTTCTTTTGTCTGTTCTAAACTTCAATAATCTGTCCTGGATTAACCTCTGTTTTTAGAAACAGAGAAAAACTTCCCCATCCACATTCTCCATGTGATACAGGTTTTATAAATCTTGATTGTGTCCCCCTCAGTCATCTTTTTTTCTGAGCTGAAAACTCTCAAGCAGCTTATTCTCACATGGAAGGTGTTGAACCCCATTATTTTGTTTGCCTTCTTCTGCACTGTTTGCTATTATATCCCTTTTCAACTGCAGTCATCGGAACTGTATCCTGTATTCTAAATACAGATGTACCATAGATGCATGCATATATGGGCTTTGCTATGTTGACCAATTTATTTTCAGTCCTTTTCCTCCCTAGTATGGAATTTCCTTTTTCAGAACTACTGCACAGTGAGTCAACATACAGTGGGGCAAAAAAGTATTTAGTCAGCCACCAACTGTGCAAGTTCTCCCACTTAA